CTGTGATTCTTAGTTTCCACAATAATTAGCCAACAGCAACAAAAACACACAAAATGGTTATAATTTTCAGACATAACATATTCTTATTTAATGTTTAAGGTAAAAACAATTTAGCACATTCAGTGGGCTTCAAACTGAACATAGATGATAGAAAGTATGAATCTATCGGGCTAGTATCGATCTTATACCAATACTTGGATCGATCCACCCACCTCTGGCACCGACTCTGTGTTTAGAGACCACTTTAGCCATTTACACCTATTTCATATTTTGTGTGTGTGTGTTTGTGGACGGGTATAAACATCTTTGTGGGGACCAAAAATTGGAAGTTTACTATACTTGTGGGGACTAGTGGTGTGCAGATCGATATTGAAATATCGATTCTTCTGATACCAGTCATTTATGTTCTAGAATCAATTCTCATATTAAAATATCGATATTTTAGTACTTTGGGGTAAATTTGTAGTTTTTCATTAACAGGAACAAAGTGGAAAGAAGAGTATCGTATCGAAGAGTACAGAATATCGGTATCGGATCAGTATCGTCGATACCACCCTGACTTTTACTTGGTATCGGATCGGAAAGGAAATCAGTGGTATCGCACATCACTAGTGGGGACCAACAGCCCTTGTGGTCCCGGTCCCCACAAGTTTGAAGGCATTTTTGAGACTCAAAATGTGGTTTTAGTGTCAGGGATACAATTAGGTTATGGTTAGGTTTAGGCAAAGGCTTAGGGGTAGGTATTCATTTTTGATATTTAGGGTAAGGATAAGCAGCTAGGGAAAGCATTATGTCAATTAGATGTCCTCGCTAAGACATGAAATCGAGTGTGGCGAGCGTGACCTGTTTTCCTGCGTCTCTGGAGTCTGGGCGTAGGCGGCGGCTGCAGCAGTGGAGCGTCGTCTCAAACTCAGACTCAAGCTGCTCCTGGCAACTGAAGAACAAGAAACCATGCGATTCATCGGAACGACAATTAGATGATTTTATTAGCTCAAGAATCAGTGAGTGAGTGTAAGGATCAGTTTGTAACGAGTGAAGAGTTCAACCATCAAGGTGAAGAGAAGGCAAATCTGTTGTTACATTAAACTCAAAAGTCTCTCTTCCAGAAAAATCACAGAGGTAACACAGCCAATGCTACTCTCCAAAGAAGTACTGTGAAAGTACAGTTAAAGTTTTAATAACAATCTTAATTTCTATTTTGCTTATGGATTAAAATAGTACATAATAATAATAATAATAACAATAATAATAATAATAATAATAATAATAATAACAACAACATTTTACCGTTGCATTTTGGCTCCTTTTTAAATCTGTCATGGCTGCACTGGTTCAGGCTTTGTGCAGATAAATGGGCACTGATATGAGCATAGAAATGCAGATAAAATGTAAGCGCTCACACAAAATCACAGCTGGATTCAAGCTGAAGATTTTTTACTTAAAACTTGCTGGTCTTAACGTGTAATTTAATTGCCTTTTTTTAAATTTCATTGTCATTCTGGGCATTTTGGGGGTTTATTGAAAAACAAAATATTAAACACACAAAAAAAATAATGATAGATGTGTGTGTTTAAGTTATGGCCTTCATTCATTATCATATGTGCACATGCATGGTCTGAATCAGTTATAAATCTGTTCATAGAGTATGAATGAGGCCAATTTTGCCCCCACCTGGGATGAAACAGTCTATATAAATAAAGATTTGTTTGCTTCATCTCATCATGTTTGGACTGTTGTAATTTCCTAACCCACTCAGGCCTCAAACCCCAGCTGCTGGGCAAGAGTGAACTTAACACCAGCTTCCTGGCAGATACAGAGTTTACTTTAAACCTTTTTAAAGTACCCATATATCCTAACGTGGTCTCAGATTAGTGGATAGGTTACAGATTTATTCATGGATTATGAAGCTGAAGTCATGAATGAGCTTTTAAACTGTTATTGCCGTTTTAACTGCGTGCATTTTCTTCTTTAGATCGTTGCCCTTTTTTTCAAATATCCTGGGAAACACTTTGAAAATACTTCTTGAAAGCTGTCGTGGAAATAAAATGTATTATTCTAATAATAATGATAATAACTATACAGTCTAACCGATGCGTTCAGCCGGCTTCACTTTCATAACCGCTCCCAGCAGTACCGCGCCGCACCGCCAGGGGGCTCGCTGAGGTTACGCAAGTTCACAGAGCTGCAATTGTGTAACTTCCAGTCTTTCTTTCTTCCTCCCGGCGCTAAAACGCGAAGTGTACGCGCACACTGGCGATAGTTTCAGGCCACCTGACGCTCACCAAATGCAGCCTAGGCACGGGATAAATCCCTTATGTAACGCTCACGTTCGCACGGTAACCTAAAGGGACGCAGCTCTGCCGCGTCAAGCTTGTGGAAATGAGCCGCAGAAACACCAACGTTTACAAAATAAGAGCACAATCATGGTAACACATTCTGATAATTTTAGCCTTTCCACCTAAACGCATGGGTAATATACACAAAACCTGGGTTCGATGTATT